CTTTCCACAGCGGCAACAATAACCATGACCATGAAAGCCCCAGCCATTGTGCTAAGTTTACCTGCCCTATTGCATTTAATTCTTGCCACCCCAACCACCAGGGAGCTCCCCCTATCATCCCCACTTCACAGTGAGGAAACTGAGGCACACAGAGATAAGTACCTTGCCCAGAGTCACTCTATTTTTTTTATTTTTTAAAGATTTTATTTATTTGACAGAGAGAGATACAGCGAGAGAGGGAACACAAGCAGCGGGAGTGGGAGAGGGAGAAGCAGGCTTCCCGCAGAGCAGGGAGCCCGATGCGGGGCTCGATCCCAGGACCCTGGGACCATGACCTGAGCCGAAGGCAGACGCTTAACGACTAAGCCACCCACGCGCCCTCAGAGTCACTCTATTGAGCAATGGCTGAGCTGAGATTTGAAGCCGGGCAACTGGACTCCAGGATCCGTGTTCTAGACCCAAACACCAGACCTCCCGCTGCTGTGGACCAGCGAGTGGTCCCACCACAACTCTTCATCGCCGGGGCCCACGGAGTCCAACGCACACACATGCACACACAGCCGAAACAAAGTCTATGAAGCAAAAATTCTCCTTACTACCTCAGTGCACCGTATATTTTTTTATTCTATTCTATGTCATTAAGGATTTTTTTTAAAAGTTGGTCATGCATGACCCACAGTAGACAGACCAGTTGGTCTGGTGTCCAGGCCTTGTTTGGGGCCCTGGGCCCCTACCCCTCCCTCTCTGAGGCACAGGGCAGCTGCACTTAACCACCTAACCAGCTACATGTCCTATTCTATTCCTGCACCCTATTCCTCTTCCACTAGGGGCCAGCTCCACGGGGGCCTCCGGTGGCTTCCATCCCATTCACAGCTGAACCCCCAGGGCCTGGCACATGACAGGTGCCCACAAGATGTCCGTTAAATGAATGAAGGTGCACACTCAGGAAAACGTAGGGCAGGACAGACCCCGGAGTCACTCCGGCCTGGGCACACGGCCCCTAAGGACAGATGTTGCCTGCCTGGAAAATGGGGCTAAATATAGCCCCTCTAAAGGGTTGTTACAAGGATTTAAAATAGATAACATGGGTAAAGCCCCTGACTCAGAGCTTGGCACAGACCAAGGTCAGCATACTTCCCTCACTCCAAGCTCCAGGATGCCTGACTATTGAACTAACACTAAAAAGGGCCATTGACTTGGTCAAGCATGGACCAACTTGATGATTAAACCCAACTGGCAGTTTGAATTGTCTCTTCTCCAACCAGAACTGTGGGTGAGCCCGAGAGGCGCGCTGAGGGAAGTGTGGCAATGTGCTGGTGAGAGAACGGGCAAGAGCCCCGCTGCCCTGGAATTCCAACCTCTCCCAGCCCCGCTTGTTTACACTTTTATTTTTTTCCTTACAAACCCCAGATTAAGGGAAACGGGGCCCAGAGAAAAGGACCATGTGGTATTAGGAATAAGACAGACCAGGGTCTTCTAAACCCAGCTTTGCTAGTGCCTACCTGTGTGAGTTGGGTCAAGTGTTTTAACCTCTCCGTGCCTCATTCTCCTCATCTATAAAATGGAGAAGAATGGCACCTTACTTTGCAGTATTGAACTGCAACTAGAAAGAGAATGGGTAACGCACACAGTAGGAGCGTGGCAAATGTGAGTTTCCTTGCTGGCTCCTGGACACTTCTCTTTATAGGGCATTCGTCTGAATTTGCTGATGCCCTTTGTGAAGACTGCCAAGGGGCTTCCCACATCAATCATAAAGGACCCTTCCTTTCTTTGACATGTCATTATTGCACACAATAACATGACATATTTACTTTGGGGCACCCAACACATGTTGTCTGAACCATGGATTGGGAGGATACTGCATGTCGGAGGAAGAATGTAGAACTTTGGAGCTAAATCAACCTGGATTCCAATCCTGGTTCTACCAACTGGATGAGCCATGTGAGCTGGAATGAGTCATTTTATCTCTCTGAGCCTTGGTTTCCTTATCTGTAAATGGAGATGATGATCCCTACCTTGCAGGGCTGTTGCAAGCATTAAATTCATTCATTCATTCAACAAATATTTACTGAACATCTGTGTACTAGCCACTGCTCCGGGTGCTGAATATACAGCAGTGAATAAAAAGACAAAATCCTCCCTGGGGAGACAGGTGATTAAACAGCTAACTACACATATCGCGTGGCACATGGTGATCATGCTAAGGAGAAACACCAAGTGGGGGAGAGCAGGTGGGGCATGCCGGGGGCAGGGGTGATGGCAGGACCCGCACTGGAGCGGAGAGCTAAAGGAAGCGAGGGGGAAACCATGTGGAGGTCTGGGGGAAGAATGCTCCAGGCAGAAGGATCAGCAAGTGCGGGAGCCTTAAGGAGAAGCATGCTTGGCATGTAAATGAAGCCACATATGCAGGAAGCCTGGCATGGAATCCAGGTGCTCAGCAAATGCCAGCTCTCTATTTCAAGTCCCATAGAAGGAACCCCACGCATGTGTCCTTTTCCTGAGAACGAAAGCACAAGGATTTCTACAGGGCAAGACTGAGCCAAGTGTTCTTTCAGCCTAAGATGCAGGCAACATGTGAGCTCTACGACTGGTTTTTGAGCCCCTGCCAGCCACTAGGCTCTGGGTTGGGCAACCAGGGATACAAGATAATTGAGACACGGTTTCTGTCCTCAGGCAGCCCTGAGGCAAGTTCTGGACAGGGGTAACGACAATGCAATGTGGTCAGATGAACAAGCCGAGCCTTAAGAAGGTATCTAGGTAGCAGAGCAAAGGGTGGGATTGGTGTGGGTGGTCAAGGAAGGCTTCCTGGAGGAGGTGACAACTAAGCTGAATTTTAAGAAATGGGGCGCCTGGGTGGCTCAGATGGTTGGGCATCTGCCTTCGGCTCGGGTCATGATCTCAGGGTCCTGGGATCGAGTCCCGCATCGGGCTCCCTGCTCCTTGGGAGCCTGTTTCTCCCTCTGCCTTTCTCTCTCGCTCTGTCTCTCATGAATAAAAAAAAAAAGAAATGGACTAGACAAGGAAGGATATTTCAAGTGTGGGGAGCATCACGTACTGATCACAGAGTTGTAAGAAACGGCAGAGTGTGTGTGAGAAACTAATTACACACAGGTGGGAAAACAGTAAACGGCCCTTCATATTCTCAGCACAGCAACCTGATGTGTCTCAGGAACTCCAGCTCTGTCCCCTTCGTCAAACTCAGGTCAAGCTTCAGCTCCAGTGGAGAATTTTAATTTTTCACACTTAGTTACTGCAGTGGGTAACAACCTTAACCCTCGGCTCCTAGCCCAGGTGGCCCAGTCCACAGAGGAAGAGCCCTGTGGGATGGACAATATAGAAATCTCCAGCTATTTTTAGCCTGCCTGGCTGTGTCTGTCCCTTCATCCACCCTACGGCCGACCCACAGGTGGCAGAATGGCTTTTTTTACTAGAACAGCATAAATATTTTTAATTAAGAAATCCTACAAAGGGGCCCATGCTGCAGCCAGGTGTCTGTGGCTGGGAGAATATCTGCTGCCATATTTGCCAACAGCCCTGGACACCTCCGGACCGGGTGGGTGGGTCCTTCCATCCCCACCCAGTCAATATCTCTGCTCATAAGAGGTGGAGGCCACTGGCCCATAAGTGGACCTGGGTTCAGATCCCACCTCTCCCTCTGACTAGCTGATGACCCTCTCCTGGTGACTTTACCTGTCTGAGAATATGGGGGTTTTGAATGCAGTGGCCCTAAAGCTGCCCAGAAGCTTATAAACTAGGAGTTGCCCCTCTTGCATAGCCCAGCCTTGGGAATCCTGGGCACAGCATCATCCATTTTAAGACTCTCCAGAGGAAGAAACAATGATTTTTTGATATAAAGCCTAGAAGGGGGGACTATATGGGAGTGTTAGAGCACAGACCAGTGATAGGTCTCTCTCCTAAAACCTCACACTAAATCTGCACTGCAGCCGACTTGCTTTCCCACTGAGCTGGGCCTTGGTACTTTAAAAATACACACATCTCTCACTTTCTGCCTACAAGATGCTACCAATGCCCAGCCTTAAGCCAAGATAAAGACTTTTTCTAAAGACTTGGGGTGTGGGGGACGACTGCACAGGCAGACAGGAGGCGCAACCCAGACTCACCTCCTATTAGCAGTATGACCTTGGGTGAGTCATTTCTTCTCCTCGGAGCCTCAATTTCTTTATTTGTAAAATTGGGATAAACATCTTTACCACGAAAAGCTGCTTTGCATGCCGCCCTGGCCCTGGGGTATGCAAAATGCCTGACACAGAGCCCCCCAGTGCAGTGATCTGTCACCCAAATCACCAGGTATTCTCTAGTAAGTCCTCCTCTGCCCCCCGCTCCCACCTTCCCACCTCACCCCCATCCCCTTACTCTAGCCCCGGAAATTCTAAGGTGATGTTAACTAGGGGGCGATGCCTTCTGCAGCAGTGACTCCGAGGGACTAGAAAGCCCCCAGTTGAGCGGACACCAGAGGGGGGCGCAGCCGGGGTGCGCGTGGGAACATGGCCAAACCAAGGCAGCATGTGCCGCGGGGGCGCTGGCGGCTGGAAATTGGGGTACCCCTGCAAGCACCCCCCACTTTCAGCAGCTGCAGTCTCGGCACAACGGGTGGTTCTGGCCGTCGGAAGCCCTGGGGAGCCCGACTCCTGTCACTCCCCCAGGGCGCCCCGGGCTCCCTCCTCAGCGCCCTCGGGCTGAAACAAAGGCGAGGGGGCGAGCGGCAGCGCCCCAGCGGCCCCTTCGCGCATCTGGCCAAGCAGGGAGAACGAGGACTGGGGTCCCCAAGGTAACCAGGACGCGGTACCCGTCCTCCCGGAGCGCAAAGCCCAGCCAAGGGGCGCGCGCGGAGCCGGGGTCCAGCAGGCACCGAAGACTCCAGCCCGCTGCGCGCCGAGGGCTCCAAGGGGGTGGGGTGGCTCTCCGGAAGTCACCCAGCGGGTCCCCTGGGGAGAGGAGAACCCCAGCGCCCGCCTCCCGGGCAGGGCTCCCCGGCGTACCTGGCAGGGTCCTGTGCACGGTGTTGCCCATCGCTGCGTCGGGGCGCGGCGTTGGCGGCGGCGCGCTCCGGCTGCACGGAGGCTAATAACGCGGTGGGCCGGGGACCCGGGCCAGGGTCGGGCCCCGGGGCATCGCGGCTGCACGGGCGAGCCGGCGGGCGGCAGCTGGGGCGGGCGCCTGGAGGGAGGCGGCGGCAGCCGGGGGAGGAGGCGGAGCTAACCGGCCCAAGCCCGCCGGCTCCGCCTCCGCCTCCGCCTCCCGCCGCCTCCAACCGCGCAGGGACAGGCGGGGCGGCGGCCGCCGCATCTTTTGAAAGTTTGGACCGGGCGGCGGGAGCAGAACCGCCGAGTCTCCCGCTCTCGCCGCTCCCGCGCCCGGGGCAGGAAGACGTGCCGCCGGTTGGGTGTCCTCGGGGTGCCAGGCCTTTCATTCATTCCTTCCAACACTTCGCTAAGGCCTAGTGTGTGCCAGGCCCTCTTGCAGGCGCTGGGCCCCAGGGGGCCAAGCGCTCACCCTGACGGTGCACTAATGAGGGGTGCGGAGTGGAGGGGTGGGGTGGGGATGTACACTCAGGCAGAAGGTCGCCTACGGCAGTGTAAAGGGCGGGGTGACCGTGGTGGGGGTGTGCTCACGGACCTACAAATAGAAACCTAGGCAGTATCCAAAGGTTGGGAGGAGGGAACATATTAGAATATTTATTAAGCGCATGCCAGCCACTGTGCTGGACACTGTAGGTAGAGACAAGGCATGTAAGTGGTGAAAACAAATAACAAGCACTTTATTATTTTTATTTTTAATTTAATTTTATTTTTAGAGTTTTGTTTTTTTTAAGGTTTATTATTTTGAGAGAGAGGGAGAGTGAGCAGGGAGAGGGCGAGCAGGGGGAGGGGCAGAGGGAGAGGGTGAGAATCTCAAGCGGAATCCCCGCTGAGCGGGAGCCCAAACGGGGGCTCCATCTCAGAACCCAGAGATCATGACCTGAGGCGAAATCAAGAGTCAGAAGCTCAAGAGACTGAGCCACCGAGGCGCCCCAAAATAACAAGCAATTTAGATCACACAATATAATGATCAAAGCCAACAAGAAAATAAGATAACTGTGTTATAGTAACTTTGGGGGGCTCAGGGAGAACCTGGGGCCATGCCAGCTCCATCTGAAGAAACAACAAGGAATCAGCCATGGGAAGAGCTGGGGAGCATATTCCTGGCAGAGGGAGTAACAGGTATTCCTCATTCACCCCACAGGTATTCTGAGCAGCTCTTTCCTGTACAAGAACCCAGACCAAACTCAATGGGAAGTGAAGCCTGCTAGTTCCTGCCTTCACAGGGCTCTGTTTTGCAGATTAGAACACTGAGGCTCAGAAGGTGCAATGACTTACCCGAGAAGACCCAGTTCTCAACCAGTTTTTTTTTCCAACTCTACTTTCCATGCTCTTGTATCCTTTATGAAATATGTGTTATTACTCCCACTTCACAGATAGGGAAACTGAGGGTCAGGGAACGGAAAAGAGGTGCCCAAGATGTCCCAGCTGGTAAGGGGCAAAGCTGGCCTGGAGCTATGTGAATGAAAGAGGGATATCTAGGACAGAACCGCCAGCTCTGTTTCTCCAGTGCCTTCTGCCTAGGATTCCTGACGCATCCCAGAGGGTTCTTATTCTTCAAGGTTAGCTCAAAGCCTCCACCTCTGGGAAGGCTTCTCTATACCCCACCCACCCTGACTCATGTACGTCTGCACATAAGGTTGCCTTGTATTTGAGTTACTGATTTCTCATTATTACAGGTGCTCTCTCAGTTACTTAATTTTTAAACACAAGTCCTGTTCGAGAAAGGTACATTGGTTCAAAACACCTTCAATCCATATGAGTTTGGGATGCATATACAGGTCAGAATTATCACCTAAGAAGCCAAGGAAATTTTCCTCATGCAAAGCAATGTGGTGCAAATGGGACTTTGTGACTACAAGGGTCACAAAGAGAGGGTCACAAAGGGTGACTGCAAGGGAGGTTGGTACAAACAGACCGTTTAAAGATCACTTTCAGAGCATCCAAGTAAGCAGCTGTGCTGTGCAGACCACAATGCACATCTGCAGCAAATAAAGCCTCAACTGCCCCAGTGTTATGCAGGTGGTGCCTGTGGAGGGGACACTGTTCGGTGGCCAGCTGACACATATATCGAAAAGGGCCGTGTGTTAGCCTCTTGGTCCCTGTGAATACATCCGCTGCGGAGGGGCGCCTGGGTGGCTCAGTCGGTTAAGCGTCTGCCTTCGGCTCAGGTCATGATCCCGGGGTCCTGAGCTGGAGCCCTGCAAAGGGCTCCCTGCTCAGCGGGAAGCCTGCTTCTCCCTCTCCCTCTGCCCCTCCCCCCTGCTCGTGCGCTCTCTCTCTGTCTCTCCCTCAAATAAATAAATAAAATCTTAAAAAGAAAAAAAAGATCTGCTGTGGAAACTGAAAAAGCACCCTCCAACACACACCAGATGATGGGGACACTGGCATCAAAGCCACACATGAAGAGTTTGAGCCAAACAGTTTCTTGAAATTTGAGCGGTGGACAAAGGCAGTCTTTCCAAATTAATGTTTTATGTAAAAATTATTTAAAATCTGTATGTCTCGCTAAAGAAATAAATATTGTAAGTAGATGTCTATTTTATCTCCACCCTTTAAAGTTTATATTATTCAACTTTATTGTGCATCTTCTCATTGGAAGAAAAGGGATTGCTCTTAACCTTTCCTTGGGTTGCCTTATATTTGTGCATGTATGGTCATTGCTCACCCCTCTGAGGTACGTCTGCACTTTGTCCTGTCCCTCAGTTATACCCTCAGGGTAAGTGCCATAGCTGTTACCCTTCCATTCACTCCACTGACAGATGCTAAGCCTCCTGTGGGCAGGACCCGGGTCGTATTCATTTATAAATCTCCAGTGCTCAGAGCAGGACTGGTGTACACAGATGGTCAGTACACCTTTGAATAAACTGATTGCAGAGATGCATTGCTCTGAACTGGAAAAAGAAATGGAAGAAGAGAAGGGCAGGAGGGAGGATGGGTAGGAAAGAGCTGTGAAGGAATGAGAATTGGTTGATAGTAGCCTTGGATTCTGGTGTGATCACTAGTGATATGGGTGGGGAGAAACAAACAAACAGAATAGGGGTCACCTTCCCAGAAGTATAGTCTCTAAAACAAAGCAGGGGCTTGCTGCTCCAGCCATTCGAGGAGACGATGCTTTGGGCACCGTACCTGAGAAGCGAGGCAAAGCTGGTCCACAGAGGTGGGGAAGGAGGCTTTGGGAGAGAGAGATCCCTGGCACAGGGGGTGTGCAAACAGAAGCAGGGGACAGGGGAAGCATCCTCGGACCTGGGCAGCAGCCTCTGGTCATAACCTCTCCCGCCTTTGAATTCCACGCCCCCCCCACCCTTTCCCTTAACCACACCCAGAACCCCACAGACCGTGCTGCCCTCCTTTAGTACCAGGGCCCGTGCTTGGGTTGCAGGGGCCCCTGGGTGGGGCCGACTCTCTTGGTTGTGCAGTGTTGGCACGGCCTCCCAGGGCGGTGGGTATAGAGGGGAGGCCCTGGCCAGGTTTACTGGCGTTACTCCCACAGGGCACGCCCTGGCACGCGCTGCCCCATGCAATAGCAGGCAGTCAGGTGCACCTCGTAAAAAGGGCACGCACTGAGCTCGGGGGCAGGATGTGTGAAAAGACCCCTTCTTCCAGGGAACCGAAGGGTGTTTGCCTACACTCCTCCCCGCAACTCACTCAAGAACACAGAATCCAGGTTGCAATCAAACCACAAAGTTGGGTGTTTTAAATTGCTACAGGAAGGCTCTACCTTTCAGTAAACTCCGCCTATCAAACCCTCAATTCCCGGCCCCAGCAGATCTTCACCCACAACAGCAACATTTTTTAGTTCCTGGTTACAAAGCGCCAACCGGGGAGCGGGCACCAGGCTGTGCCCTGGGAGTGAGCCTCCTCGAAATCTAACAGTGTGGTCATTGACACAGTTCCCACCTTGCAGGAGAGGAAACTGGAAGCAAGGAGAGAGGAAGGAACTGCCCAGTTCACACAACCAGGAGGAGGCAGAACTCAGAGGGTTCTCTGTCCTCTCTTTTTACAGAGGAGGAAACAGGCTCAGAGCGGTGAAGCCACTCGGCGACCCAATCATGCTTGTGTGGAACGGAATCGACTGCGCATTACCCGGCAGCCAAGGCAAAAAGGGAAAGAGGCTCATCCCATGCTTTACTTGTCCTGTTCCCTTGCAGACACACGCTTGGTGCTGGAGCAGGTGCCAAAGGGGAGCTCTTCCCTGGCGTGTGGGAAGGCTGATGGGCAGAACCTTCCTCCTGACTTTGCCTGAAGACACATCAGCAACGTTCTGATGGATGGCTCCCATGCTGGCCGTCAGAAAAGAGCAAGGGCTGGCCGTTTCCTGGAATCCGGCAGAGGCAGCTCTGTGAGAGGCAGGGGGCATAGGTGCCTGGAACTCAGCTTTCTCATGACACAGGGACAGAGCTCAGACACTCCGAAACACATGATCATTTTGGGTAGGTCACACGAGCGAGGCAGTGGCTGAAGGGAAATTAATTTATGATTCCAATAGCTTGCACTTACTGTGCACTTACAGTGCTGATTATGACACAGACAGAGCTAACATTCGAGTGCCAGATGCTGTCCTAGGTCCTTTAGATGTATTAAGCTCACAATAGCCCTAGGCAGTGGTACTATTAATGGGCCCATTTTACGGAGGGGGAAGCCGAAGCCCATAGAATGTACGTAGCTTAACCACCAGCACACAGGCATAGAGCAGTCTGACCGAACATACTAGGCTGATTTATGTAATCCTCACGACAACCCTATGAGCTAGGAAGGGAGATAAGGGGTAAGGTGTTGCATCCCAGCATTCGTATGGGTCGCTTTTTAAAATCTTCATCTCCATTCTATGGGGCCTGCTGGGAAGCTCAGAGAGGTGAAGTGATTTGCCCAGGCCTCACACCCAGAATGGGGACCCAGCCCGCTCTGACCTCAGAGTCTATGGGCCCCTCCTCTTGGCCCCTCAGGTAGCCGAGAGTTTGCAGAGCCCAGCCCATCCTAAGAAGAGCAACCTGCAGGCTGGCCTGTGCTGACCCATTTTCAGAGTCCAGTGCCCAGCCCTGGTCTGACCCTGGGAGAGCTCACCGCTCCCTG